GGTGGGTGGGGGTGGGAGGGGTGGTGAAGTAGGGAGGATCCAGATTCCTGACAATTTGGAATGCCAGGATGAATTTACATTTGACCCAGTAGGCAAAGATCTCTTTTACCAACCAAATATTTCCTGAGCAAACTCTACATGCCAGGCACTGTGAGATATAAACAAAATAATCTTCAAGAAGCTAATAATCTGGTGGGAATGACAGACAAGTAAACTGATGATTAATCATCTGATAAGTACTCTGTTGGTAGCTCAATGGATTTAAGAGGTGAAAATGATCATTCATTAAAGTTTTTTTTTCTGTTGCATAATAAGGATAAATCACACATAACTTCTATTTTTCAGGCCGGACAGACTGAATGGTTCTGCCAAAGATTAAATAGAAAGAATGGAAAGAGCGTCTTTTTTGGTGGCGGGGGTGGGAACAGACAGAATGATGAGTTTTCTTGTCAATTTAAGGTGACCACTGATATCTAAAACTCAGAACTAAGCCCTCTGGGAAAAATAAACAAATAAACTTAAAAAAATCCTACGTTTCCCATTCTACCAGTTTTCCACTCCAACTGGGAGATCTTGGTGCCAGTGACTGAAAATAGGCAAAACAGGAAAAGGACTCAATTGCTCTTGGTATCAACGCAGCTCTTTTTATTGACTTGTTTTGTGGATGTATCAAATTCAGGATCAATCTCTGATTTTGTTATCTTGTCCTATCACTACAACTCCGATGCCTTATGTCCAACAGGCCCTTTCTATTATTTGTGTGAATGAGGTTCATCACCTAGGCCTGCTGACAATTCTAGTCTAGTCTAGTTCAAAACTGCCCTTTTTTCCATCGCTACCCATACAATCTTGGATTATGTTCCTATTACCTTAAAGCTAGATTCCAAGTTTCTACCTCTTTCAATACTTATACAAAGCTTATTTAATAAGCAGCAAAAATATCCATCAGTATATTTACTGTATATCCCTCTTCTATTATTGTACCACTATGGAAAGAACAATTACTTGGGAGTCAAGAGCTACAGTTTAGTGGCCATGCAAATAACTAGATGAGTTACCTTGGTCAAATCCTTTCATTGCTCAGGGGCTTCCTGCTTCCTTCTCTATAAAATGAGAGGCTAGAACCAGATGCTTTTCTTTCTATTATGATTATCTTGCGAGACAGTTTCCTTATATGCAACACTGATGAGACCTTGTTTAGTTCAAAACGAACAGTAAGATTCACTCACTAAAGAATTCCTTCCTTCTGTCTGAGATAGGACTGTGTAGTAGTTCTAATCTGGTTTCTTTTATGTATATAAAGACCTAGTGACAGATATAAATCATCCTACAATCAGGAATTTTGATTAGGATATTAGTGGTTCAGAAGAAGGCATGTTTTACACTGGTTAAACTCTAAACCCCCAAAATAGAATTTGTTAATACTGACTCATGTTGTCAAAGCCACTACATTCCGGTGAAATAATTTTTATCACATACTAGTTATTACATTTTAAATTCTACTTGACTTGAACATGAGAGTGAATAAGAAGAAATGCTGTTTATGTTTCTAGAATTATGTATTAAGAAAATGCTTTAAGCAATAGTTTACAAAACCTTTTAGGCCCACAGACTATTTTATTAGGACAAAAGTCCCCATAAACTCAGCCTAACACTTTTGACTTCTTTTTGTCCCCATTTATTATATTAATAGAAACTTTAAAATGGAAAGAGACTTCTGGTTAAACATGGATGTTTTACTTTCTACTTTCTTTTAAAACCCTATTGAAATTACAATGGAAAAATTATGCATAGACTCACAAGGACAAAAAAGAGAAGCAGTAGCAGAAGGTGACTAAGTGGTAACTCACACAGCAGATAAGAGAAAGCTAAAATCTAAGCTTAAAGAAAGGAGGTCAATGAGAAATAAGCAAATTCTTGCCATAGGACCCCATCTAATCAGCTTTTTGGTACCGCACTTTTTTTTTCTTTAAAAAAATTTTATTTTATTGAAGTATAGTTGATTTATAATGTTGTGTTAATTTCTGCTGTAGAGCCAAGTGATTCACTTATATATATATATATATATATATATATATATATATATATATATATATATATATATATATATATATATATATATATATATATATATATATATATATATATATATATATATATATATATATATATATATATATATATATATATATATATATATATATATATATATATATATATATATATATATATATATATATATATATATATATATATATATATATATATATATATATATATATATATATATATATATATATATATATATATATATATATATATATATATATATATATATATATATATATATATATATATATATATATATATGAATATAGGTACCTCACTCTTAAATGAGGAAAAGACAGCAAAGAATTCCCAGGAATTTAAGGAAAGACTCTAAACATGAAAAATAGCTATCAAAATAAGTAGAAAAATATAGACCTTATATAGATCCTGATTCAAACAAACTGCAAAAAGAAAAATGAATTATAACAATAGGGACAACTGGAAATTTGAGCACTGATCAGATATCTGTATCTTAATTTTTCAGGTATAATCATAGAATTGTATTATTTCAAGAGTCTTTATCTTCTAGAAATACATACTAAAATATTTATGGAAGAAATTATACAATGTCTGGGATTTGCTTCAAAATATCAAAAGAGGGGAAGGGAGAGAACACAGATAAAAAAAGATTGATTATGAGTTGATAAATGTTGAAGGAAAAAGAAGGGTATATGGGGCTTCTCTATATTTTCTGTTTCTTTCTGTAGATGTTTGACACTTTCCATAACAAAAAGTTTTAAAAAATGGAATAATTAGGGCTTCCCTGGTGGCGCAGCGGTTGAGAGTCTGCCTGCCGATGCAGGGGACATGGGTGCGTGCCCCGGTCCGGGAGGATCCCACGTGCTGCGGAGCGGCTGGGCCCATGAGCCATGGCCGCTGGGCCTACGCCTCCGGAGCCTGTGCTCCGCGGCAGGAGGGGCCACAACGGTGAGAGGCCCTAGAGAACAAGGAAAATCTAGGAAATTAAAAATAATGGTAGAAACAAGAGGTTAATAGAAGGGTTGGAAGATAGATGATAAAATTTCCTAGGATACAGGAAAAAAAAGACAAAAATGGAAAATAGGATGGGAAAAAAAAAAATTAGGCAACGACCCAGAAGGTTCAAAATATCCAAAGAGTAAGTTATAAAATGGAGAAGAAATGACAAAATACTTTCCCAGAACTGAAGAAATGAGTTTCTAGATTGAAAGAGACCACCCCATATCTGGTATGATGAATTTCAAAAATCCACACTAAAGAAATACCATTATACAAATTTCAGAACACCAGGGATAAAGAGTAGCTTGATTCTAAAGACCTCTAAGGAGGAAAAGCAGCTTATACACAAAGGACTGGGAACCATAATGGTAATAAATTTCATAATTGCAACACAGGAAACTGGAAGACAATGCAAACAATGCCTTCAAATATCTGAGGGAAAATTATTTCTGATCTAGAATTTTATGTCCAGTCAAATTATAAATTAAGTGAGGGGCAGAATAAAGGCATTTTCAGACATGTAGTTACAAAAAATTTACCATCCATTCAGCCTTTCTAAAGTAGCTACTAGAAGATGTGTTTCACCAAAACTAGAAAGTAAACTGAGAAAAAGGTAGGTACAGAATTTAGGAAAGGAGATCTAATACAGCAAAGATGTGAAGGATATGTGACTTCAGTACAGGAACAATTTGTATAAAGCATTATGAAAACATTACTAGGAGGACATGAAAAGGGAAACTGTGTGTAAGAGAACTAAATCCTAATCTTCCATGGTAGGAAGTCAAAAGATTATGTTTCCAAATGAAAACAATCGAAGAATTACAATATAAGAATAATGAATGTGGAGGTAAAAGGCAGAAGCAGCAGCTAAAGAGACGGAAGTCATTGTCTCTGGGGGTCAAGAACTGGGATAGGGAGAAGGGTAGGAAAAGCACTGCTATCTTATAAGACTCTATACACATATTACTTTGATAAAAATAAAAATAAAATTTAAGAACACACCAGCAGTCTATAATTCCAATATGTCAAGTAGCTTCACTTTTCTATGGTCTCTTATATCGCTAACATCTATATAATTTTACATACTTGTGGTAGCCAAATTCGTTATAATGTTCACTTACAAATTTTTGTTACATTCATTTTTATGATTATATTTGAAATATTTCATTTAAATAATATTCTATTAAGTGGTATACCACACTTTTCTAAACATTCAATATTTATAAGATTTCTAAATTCTCGATATTCTAAATAATGTTGCAATGAAAATTTTCAAGTACACAAAATCCTTCTTTGAGATTATTTCCTTAGGTTACTTTAGCAGCAATAATGGCTCGTTGTACTTATTGCAAAAACGCTTTCTAACTTATGTTGCCATTATATGAAATAACTCATTATTTTATATGCATTTATCAGAAATCTGGGACATTTTCCCAAATGTTATTTTTTTTATCCCCTTGCATAAAAATGTATTCTAAAACCCTTTAGGTGGAGGTTGTAAAGTTATTTCTTAGGAACTCCTAACTCAATCATTCCTTTTACATTTATTAGTTGGAATTCCATTGTAAGGAAGAGCTTTCCCTTGTTCTCCATTAATTTATGGATTAACTCATGGATTCTTTATTCAGTGGGTTGCAATCGATCACTATCATTAATTATTGCAATGTTTAAACTGTCCTAGATTTGGCCAGTAGGAGCCTTTTAATAAATTCCTTATATATTAATATTTTGTAATATTTGAGGCAAATAATTTCCTGATTTCCTATTTATACTATTTTTCATTGTATAAAAGGCCAAAAGTTTTTGTACTGTCAATTTGTTTGTAATTTGTGCTTTGCTCAATATCTATTCACAAGTTTCCTAGGATGTGTTAAGTTGTAAAATTCAGTTAGATTGTTTATTATGGTATATGGTTTAAGAGAAGACTCTAGTTTTTTTTGCAGGTTGTTCATGAGTATTTCAAACAAAATTTAAAAAATCAGTATTTAATTTCCCATTGTTCTGGCCACCTGCTTTGTCATACAGCACAGCACTTACTCAATATTTTTGTAACAAATACATGAAACTTTAATATATAATACTTTTGTACTGTTTTGTTCCACTGGTTTATATGCCTGTATTATTTTCCCCCAAAACACAATGAATTACTACTGCTTTTAATAAGCCTTAAACCTGATAAAACTTGTTCCTTTCTCATTCTTCTTTTTTAGAATACTCTTTGAGGCGTACGTTTTCAAGTGAAATTTTCAATATTTCAAGGAAAATGCAACAGGAATCTTGAGGATATGGAGCTAACTGGATGACTAGAGGAATACTAAGAGTCTCAACAGCCTTCTCTAAAAGGAATTGGGCATGTATTTCCTTTCCCAGTATCTTTTAGGTTTCTCAGAGTTCATAGTTTCCTTTACATATACTATGCACAACACAAATCCTGTTATATACATGAAAAAAACTACTTTTGTTGCTTTTGTAAATGAGCTCTCAAATAAGTTCCATCTATGCAGCTTTATGACATGGAATTCATGAGTATAAAATTATAAAAGTAGTGATGTAGAGTAGGGCTCTGAGGATAGAATTTAATTTCCTGGCCCTAGCAAGAATCAAGTAAGTAGTATGCCAGGGGGTGGAGACTGGATAGGAAAGAAAATACATTCAGGAAGGGAGCAAGAGAACAGAGGCAAAGGATGGTGCTTATAGAGGAAGGTGAAATTTCTTGAAACGATGATAATATCCAGTGTGAGTTACTAATTGGGAAAAATAACATCAGAAATAATAAGTGATCATCACAGATATTCCTTCCAGAATATTTTAAAACCTTTAGAAAATACAGGTACGTTGAAGAGGAAAAAAAGAGATGTCAGGAATCAACACACAAAATAATTAGAGGTTATGTGGTAAAATAACTGATACTACTTTAAAAAAGGAAGATCTAAGTATTTAAAAATCTATGTACAATTTTTTCTAAGTGACTACCTATAAGAGCCAAATCTGACATTAGATTTTTCAAAATCAGAGCCTTACAATAAAAACTTATTTGGAGACCAGAAGTCAAAATGATAAAGTCCTCAGAATAAAAGCTATTTTGCATCATAAATCAGTAAGTTTTCAAAACATTAAAATAATAATATGAACTGCAAGATGCATCAAACCTAGTTTTAAAATTCTAAACTTCTACTTGCCTAAAGCCCAAGAAGAATTTATAATACTTCTTTTAAAGCATGGCAACTCCCATTCTCACTAGTCATATGATTCCTAGCCTTGTAGGAAAAATCCACTAAAAGAAAGTCTAAATTTAAAGACAGTAACGGGAACAGATTCTGAATTTAAGTAACTGGCCTAGGAGTCACATGAGACCTATTCAGATTTTTCAGTTTGTTCATACTATGCGAACACTACAAATAGCAGTAGCACTTACCTTTCAATGTGGCCTTCTTCAATACTTTCATGGCGTAAAGCTGTCTAGCATCAGAGCCTGAGATTTTTTTGACTAAGAAAACCTGTATTTAAATAACAGAAAATAAGTCTTACAAAGTATCATAAACTATACTATTGCTAAAATAAGACCCCCTACTGTAATATAGCTTATTATTAGAAAGATTCTGATACATTAACTATTTTCCTTAAAATATTACCAATTATAAATACAGTGAGTTGTAAACACTGGTTATAACTTTGGGTGTCAATATAAGTGAATACATTTTTTGTTGTTGTTTGCCAATTCCCAAAGACCATGTAACATGTAAGACAGAGACAAAAATCTTTAAACTATGAAGCAATTAGAGAAAAGTCTAACATGTTTAAAGTATAACACAGGTGGTGATTGCTCTGCTTCAAACAAAACAAAAATTCTGATTCCATAAAAACTGTTATACAGAAGTTCCCCTTGACCACAATTTTCTGTTGATTCAATTCTGTTGACGAATAGTCTTTCCTATGTATGAAAACTCTACAATTTCTCATTGCTGGGCAGAACAATTTATTTTTATTTTTTAATTTTAGTATACATGATTTACAATGCTGTGTTAGTTTCTGGTGTACAGCAAAGTGATTCAGTTATATATATAAATATATATATATTCTTTTTCATTATGGTTTATTACAGGATACTGAATATAGTTCCCTGTACAGTAGGACCTTGTTGTTTATCTATTTTATACACAGCAGTTTGTATCTGCTAATCCCAAACTCCTAATCTATCCCTCCTTCATCCTCTCTCCCCTTTCGTAACCACAAGTCTGTTCTCTGTATCTGTGAGTCTGTTTTTGTTTCGTAGATATGTTGATTTGTGTCATATTTTAGATTCCACATACAAGTGATATAATAAGGTATTTGTCTTTGCCTTTCTGACTTCACTCAGTGTGACAATCTCTAGGTCCATCCATGTTGCTGCAAATGGCATTATTTTATTCTTTTTTATGGCTGAGTAGTATTCCATTGTATGCACCACACCTTCCTTATCAATTCATCTCTTAATGGACATTTAGGTTGCTTCCGTGTCTTGGCTATTGTAAATAGTGTTATGAACACTGGCGTGCATGCATCTTTTCGAATTAGAGTTTTCTTCAGATATATGCCCAGGAGTGAGATTGCTGGATCATATGGCAACTCTATTTTTAGTTTTTTAAGGAACCTTCATACTGTTTTCCATAGTGGCTATACCAATTTACATTCCCATCAATAGTTTAGGAGGGTTCCCTTTTCTGCACATCCTCTCCAGCATTTGTTATTTGTAGGCTTTTTAATGATGGCCGTTCTGACTGGTGAGAGGTGATACCTCATTGTAGTTTTGATTTGGGCAAAACAATTTAAAACACTTATACTGAAGAAATTTACTCACAACTATTTAATGTAAATTAAGTCGGAACCCTGCCTCCCCATCTTTTAAAAATCAAATATACACACATACCCAAATATTAAGAATACAATTCCCAGGGGAATTCCCTGGTGGTCCAGGGATGGGATGCTACTGCACTTCCACTGCAGGAGGGGTGTGGGTTCGATCCCTGGTTGGGGAACTAAGACCCCGCAGGCCGTGTGGTGTGGCCAAAAAAAAAAAAAAAAAAAAAAAGCGAGCAATCCCCAGGTATGCTACTGAGTATCTTGATTTTCCAAATATTTTTGGCTGTTTTCAAAATATAGTGTGGGATTTATGCAAAATGAATAAAGTCTGCTCTAAATAACTCATGGTCATGCTATAACTTGTCTAATACAATACCAAACTATCAATAAATCCCCTCTACTCATTCTGACCATTAGTTTCATGATCTTTTCCAGAAAACCTTTACACAGACTTGCTAAATGGACCTGAATTTCAACTTTTTTTCTCCTACTCATTCTTTCCTAGCAGTGCTACTGAGCTGCCACAGATGCTAAGAAGAGACTCAATTACAATCAAGAATTAACTCTAGGGTCAGCTCTCTATTACCTGCATTAGCACACTAGGCTATTAGCACAACAAAATAAAAAAATGATTCATTCAACTGATTCTAGGGCAAGGCAGAGTTCCTCACTTCGAGAAATTGTGCCAAAGACAATGGTCAGTGACCTCACGTCCAGTGAAAAGTGCCACAATGTGCACAGAAACCCTGATGCAGGGTGTGTTTCTCTCCCCAAATTACACCCATTGTCCCCCTTCACCGTGGCCCACGGTGAAACTTCCTTTTAGCCAGTTAGCAGTGAGCCAACCTAGGGAGCGAAAAGTGTATTCTCAATCAGGGTTGTTGCTAAGATGGAATGATGTTTAAAACTTAAAGGCAATCAGAGATTATGAATATTTTTGAACTGAAATAAATTCTAACTAGGTGGGGATAATTAGGATTTACCTGATATTTATTATTCATTCATTCTTAAGATTCCCTAATCAAGCTTCTTCGTACTATTCTACAAGAAAAATTCTCCTCATGGATTCAAACTTTCTTCACCCTACTTTGAAAGCACCCTCTTGATACGTTTCAGCACATCTTAGTTTTTGCAAAGGACCTTCACAAGCATTTGTAATGCATCATCATGATAATTTTGGGAGGCAGGCCTACTAAGCAATGCCTATTTTATAGCTAGGGCTTTGAGATGTTAAATAATTAACGCAGTGTCACAGTGGAGGTATTGGGATAAGAATCGGGCCAGCCATCCAGTTCTGTGCTTCTGCTCAGGGCACTCAATCTGTTGCCTCTGGCTGGTCACCAGTCAAGCGCAGCAGGAGCAGCAGCAGTCCCAGATGCCATCAGATCTTCCCCCACCAGCATTTCTGACTTTTCGAATCCCTCATGAAGCTATTCTAGGCTGTGACAGGTCATCCCTGTTTCCTTGGCTGAGACTGGCTTTTGAGGATGAGTAAGAAAGGAGACGCCCTATTTTTAATGTTTGCTATTTATAGTAAGGTATTTAAGTTACTTTTAAAGAAATAAAGGGAGAAGCATGCTAACTCCTGGAAACTTCAATATTATGTTCCCTGAAAATATAATGTGTAGAAATAAATCCATCTATTTTGGTTTATCCATAATAAATTGCATGATAATACAATCTCATAGCAGATATTATGTGCTTGGCCTTATATCATTTAATTCTTACTACTACCCTATGAGGGCAGGACTATTATTTACTCATTAATTCTTTCCAGAACTATATGTTAGGTACCGTGCTACTAGTTCCATGCTGAGACATGGTTCAAGGCATACATGGCCCCTGCACTCATGGAACATATAGTGTAGTGGGGGAGACAGCCAATAAACAAATAATTACACAAACAAAAAAACTGCAATTGTGGTTAGTGCTGTGAAGATGAGGTATGTAATGTTCTGAGACGGCAAAAATAGACAAATATGACCTAGGTCAGGATGGCTGGGAAGACTTCTTTGAGATCCTAAGCTTAAGAGGAGCCAACCAGAGGAGGAAGGGATGGGGGTGGGGCAGTGTTTTTCAGGCAGAGGGAACAGCATGTGCAAAAGGCTTTTGCTTATGGATTAAAAAAGAAGGCCAATGTGGCCAGAACACAGGCAGTGAAAAGTATATAAACTGATGTTGATGAGGTAGCTAGGGGGCAGACTGAGGGGCTCCTCAGCCATCTTAAGAATTTGTCTTTCTCCTAAAAGCAAAGGGAGGCCTCTAAAGGGTTAAGTGGATGGAGTATAAGACTAGCTCTTGTTGGCTGTCATGCATTGATAAATAAAGGCTTGAGGCAAAAATAAATTTGGGAAGCCCAAGGTAGGAGCCTCCTTCAATAGGCCAGGGAGAAATGGTGGTGGCACAGACTGGAGAAGTGGCAGGGAGAAGGAGAGAACAGGCATGATTTGAGAAATCTTCACTAAATCAGCAGAACTTGTCAATGGATCAGATTGGTGGGGGTGGGGGGAGAGGGAAGGGCAGGGACTAGAAGGATATGTCAAGAATGCCTCTCAAGTTTCTGGCTTGCTTAACCAGAAGTCATTCATAGTAACAGAGAAAAGTGAAATAGAGGTTTGGGGGTTAGGGGAAAATCATGAGTTTGGTCTTAGATATGTTGAGTTTAAACTGACTTTGGGGCCTGCAAAGAGAAAAAAAATAAGTAGCTGTACACACAGTTCAGAGCTTAGAGTCACAATCTAGATTGGAGATATAAATCTGTTACATCAGCTGTATGTGGGTTTTATTAAGATAGTGGGCATAAAGAAATTAATTAGTAGGGAGTATAGAGTGAGAAGGGAGCCTAGAATGGAACCTTGAGAACTTCAATACCTAATGACTGCCTAGAAGAGGAAAATGGGGCTCCAAGAGGTTAAGTAACTTGCTCAGGTGCACATAGCAATTAAGTAGAAAAAAACAAAACAAAACAAAACTAGAATCCACGTCTGGCTGACCTAGAGCTCAAACTTGCAACCATTATCTTCTTTTGGCTACTTAATCTCTATCTGGATTAAAAATATCACTTTGGGCTTGAAAGAGGTTAACAGCTGTAACAGATTACCTATGTTAGCCAAGAATTGCTAAACAGTCCCGTTAAAATACACAAGAGAGCAAAACGGGTGTTGTTTTGAAGCTTGCAAAGCCTATCTTCAAATGCTTCCTCACAGAGAGGTGGCAAGGAAGCACTGCACTGTGAAAGCTGAATGCAATCTCAGAACGTTCCTCTTGCTGAGAAATGGACTAGATAGATCAAGTAGTAGTGATTATAATGCTGTACTTCTCAAAATGGAGTACAGGAAGTGCTCCTGAGGTATGCAGCAGGGGGACAAGGAATACTTGAAAAATGATAAAGATGTTGCAATTTTAGTTGGTGGATTTGGGAAATAGTTGAGAAATATTTTTGGATATTAAAAACAGACACAGAGGGGCTTCCCTTGTGGTGCAGTGGTTGAGAATCTGTCTGCCAATGCAGCGGACACGGGTTCGAGCCCTGGTCTGGGAGGATCCCACATGCCAGGGAGCAACTGGGCCCGTGAGCCACAACTACTGAGCCTGAGCGTCTGGAGCCTGTGCTCCGCAACGAGAGGCTGCGACAGTGAGAGGCCCTCGCACCGCGATGAAGAGTGGCCCCCGCTCGCCGCAACCAGAGAAAGCCCTCGCACAGAAACGAAGACCCAACACAGCCATAAATAAATTAATTAATTAATTAATTTAAAAAAAACAGAAACCAGACACAGATATCATTGAATAGAATGCAGCCTTTGAGTTCATTTTAAAGACAAGCTATAAGTCCCCCAAATTTCGTACATGTAGTGGTAACCCCCCACCCTACTTCCTTGGGAGTACCTATTCGCTTTCTGCTGGTATTAGGGGTACTCTGGAGGAAAGATTGAGATGCACTGTTATAATGTATTGTAAGATCACCTTCCGATTCTACATGAAGACTCAAAAAGAGGCCAGTGTGTCACGGGAACATTTTGTGATTTTTTAATCATTCAGGAAGTGCAATTAGGGCTTCCCTGGTGGCGCAGTGGTTGAGAGTCCACCTGCCAATGCAGGGGACACGAGTTCGTGCCCCGGTCCGGGAAGATCCCACATGCCACGGAGCGGCTGGGCCCGTGAGCCATGGCCGCTGAGCCTGCGTGTCCGGAGCCTGTGCTCCGCAACGGGAGAGGCCAAAACAGTGAGAGGCACATGTACCCAAAAAAAAAAAAAAAAAAAAAGAAGTGCAATTAGAGAGGTCATATAGTCTTGAAGATAAAATGAATATGAAGTGAACACTGCCAAGTTATGAAAGTTCCCATTGTACTTCTGAATGACTTTATTCACTCTGTCACACTTATTGATAGTGAGAATTGTAAAAACACAGAAAATACTGCATTATAGGGAGATCAGTAGTATTTCATAAAATATTTCTGTTCCCCATTTGTATGAAATATACATGAATTCCCAAAAGCAACTTTTTAAAAAGCACATATTCATGACTTACCTTTCCAAATGATCCCTGTCCTAGTACTTTTAAAAGTTCAAACTGGGAAGGATCTGCCTTTTCATGTCCTTCCTTTACATGATGTGTGATTGCAATTTCTTTGATACTGCCTTCTTCCTGTTGATGCAAATATAAGGGGATAAAACAGAGTTAGAGCTACTTCCTCTGGCTATAAATCAAGCAATGTAAATTTATTGTATCATATTAGAAATCCTCAACTTAACATACACAAGCCACCTTTACTGACCCATCAACTAAAAAGAGAACACATGCCAAGCAAATATACTTTCAAGTTAAATGTCAGAGAAAGAATAATACCAGCCAACCACATAGGCCAGTTTAACCTCTACATAACATTAGTTCTGAATATTTTCAAGTCTTCACTCTTCCTACTGGAGATAATCAGAATGATTAGTTTCATGGGGTGAGGGCAGTGTGTGTAAAGAAGTCTGAAAACAGATCAGAGTAATCTGGTGTGCTCTGATACGTGACTGTATTAGGTAGAACCAACACTATACACAACAAAACCTGATTATTGGGGCGAGGGGTTGAAAAATATTCCAGGGTCAACGTGGAGATTTCTACCCTCAGCAAGGCCGTTTGAATTAGCCTGCTGAAGTTTACTGTGTTTGAAATATCTAAGTTACTTTCTGTTTCTAGGACTACCTGAGGTCTGAGATGGGAGAAAGGAATAACTCTAAAACACAAAATCAAAAAAGATTTAACATTTGGATGGAGGATTAGACAGAAAAAACATGTTCAGCATGATGGAAAAGTAGAAGGTCTTAGAGTTAAGAGAAGGATACTTAAAGAATGTGGATGCTTTACTATACCTGAGAGAAGGTGTCAGAGAAAGGTTGAAAACACATGTAAGTAAACATAGAATTTCAATTAATTACCGAGACCAGCAGATTAAGTACACCTTATTTATTCAATAATCAAGACATGTACTTTATCAGCCCAAAACTACAACAATAAAACAAAACCCAACAAAACAAGAAACATAAGCCTGTCAAAGACTATCTTTTCTTTTTTTTGCCTATAATGTTTTTTCTAGTGCACACGTACTATGAGTAGAATCTAAATGTGCTATACAAATGTAAATAATTATTTTTATTACCACTGTATTCCATATAAATGCTTCAATTCAAATAACATTCTCTGAGGCACAGAAGGCTGGCAATATAAGGAATTACAAAGATTTCTCAAAAAGATATACCAAGGGGGCTTCCCTGGTGGCGCAGTGCTTGAGAGTCCGCCTGCCGATGCAGGAGACGCGGGT